CGGCGGCGGCGGCGGCCCGGACCCTGGATCCTTCTCGCCGGCAAAGGGGCCCGGGGCCGCATACGTGTCTGTCTGTGACAGAGTGCGTGTCCTTGAAGGAGGATACGGCCTTGTGTGTGTGTGTGTGTCGGGTGCGCGCGCGCGTAAGACCGAGAGAGGGGTAGAGAGAGAGAGAGAGCGAGCGAGTGGATACACGCGAGGCCATGCAGACACACACACACACACATGCCGCGTCCGACTGCGCCGGCTCGGGATGCGCGTCGTTGACGGGGCGCCCTTGGCGTCAGGCGCACCGTGGCCCCTGCTCCCTTCGGCGCCCGTAAAACCACCCCTCCCACGACTGCCGGGGCCTCGCTGACTGGCATCTTTCATCGACGCCGGCGGCCGGCGGCGCGCGTCCATGGACCCCGCCTCCCCCCGGGGGGGGGGGGGGGGGGGGGCCGCGGCGAGGCCCCCTGGCCGCCTCATTATTTCGGCTGGCCCGGCCGATTGCACTCACCCCTCCGGAAGGGGGCCCTACACACACACACACACAGCCCCCCTCCCCCCCTCCCCCTCTTTCTTCCACCCTAGCCCTTTTTGTTGCTCCTTCGCCTGCCTGGCCCGGGTCCGCCACCGTCACCGTCGCCACCGTTGCCGCCGCCGCCGCCGCCGCCGCCGTCGCCGCCGCCTCACCTGTCGCCGGGGCGCTCCTTTTCCGCCCCCCCCCCCTCTCCCCTCTTCTCCCTCTTCCGCAGCCTTCCATCCCGTTGTCCCGGCTTCGCGCGGCTACCGCCACCATGGGCAATGAATCTTCCAAGATCCCGGCAGATCTCTCGATCAATGGTACGGCGTCCCTCCCGCGCACCTGTCCCGGCCTTTGGCTGGCCGGCCGCCACTCACCGCCCCTCCCACCGGCCGCCAGGCGAGCGCGTGTCCGATACGACCCCCGAACGCCAGCTCTTTCTCGTCCGCTCCGCCCTCCAGGGAAAATGTTCCATCGGCAACTTCCACATCGTGCGCACCCTGGGAACCGGCTCCTTCGGCCGTGTCCTCCTGGCCTACCATACCGTGGTCAAGGTACGCTGCCCGCTCGCGTCCGGCGGCTCTCTCTCTCTCTCTCTCTCTCCCCCCCCCTCCCTCCGGCCCACTCGGCCGCCCCGGGGTTGCTGACACTTTTCCAATGCATGCTCGCCCACCTGTCTGCCGGTCGGCCCGGCCGCCTGTCCACCCCCCCTCCCCCCGCCGGCGCGGCCACCCGCAGAAATACTTCGCCGTCAAGGTCCTGGCCAAAGACCGCGTCATCAAGATGAAGCAGGTCGAACACACCAAGTACGAGCGGCGCATCCTGTCCGAGGTCAACTGCCCGTTCATCGTCAATCTCCTGGCCACCTCGCAGGACGCCAAGAACCTTTACCTCACCATGGAGTATGTGCCCGGTGGCGAGATGTTCTACCACCTCCGCCAGGCTGGCCGGTGCGTGCCTCCCCTGCCCCCCCCCCCCCCCCCCCCCCCCCCCCCCCTTCTCCCCTCTCCCACCGTATGGCACCTGCTTTCCC